TTGGTAGCCCAGGCTGGCCTTGAACTCACAGAGATCCGCCTGGCTCTGCCTCCCGAGTGCTGGGATTAAAGGCGTGCGCCACCACCGCCCGGCTACATTGTCCTTATTTTTTGAGTTAACGAACTGTTTTACACTTGTCTTTGAAATGAGGTGACAAAGCTGTGTCTTCTACTTTTTGACAAGTGGAATTGTAAATTTGATATATCATTAATTTTTATTAAAATCTAGTTAATTATTGATTACACAACTGCCAGATTCTTTTTTTTCTTTTCTTTCTCTTGCTTTTTATTTCTTGTTGTTTTTTGAGACAAAGTCTTAATATGTAGCTCTGGTTGTCCTGGAACTCACAACTCCATAGTAGAGCAGGCTGGCCTGGAACTCACAAAGAACGTCCTGGTCCTGTCTCTGCCTCCTGAGTGCTGGGATTAAAGGCATTCTCGACCACACTCAGCCCAAATCCTTTCTTACATTTTGTTTGTTGTATTATCCTTTGTTTTTGTCTTGCTGACTTTGGCTCAAGTCAGCAATCCACTTTTTTAGGATTTTGAGACAAGGTCTTACTCTATAGCCCTGGACAGCCTCAGATTCACAGAGATTCACCTGCCTCTGCCTCTGCCTCATGGGGTTAAAGGCCACTGCACCCAGGAAGATCATTAAATTTGAAATCAGATGACCTGAATTGAAAGTCTGGCTTCCAACACTTACTAAGCAATGATTGGCAAATTACCCAGCATTCAGAGCTACTCTTGATTGTGTTGATAAAAGGACTCGCTCCACTTCATGACTGTCCTAGTGTTTGGTGAGATGGTATGTGTGAAAATCACTGTGTAAGTGCAAGTATGGTGTTTTTATTCGGAAAACTAGGAATACATAAGTTTAGAATAATGTTACTTGGAAGTATTTCAAAATTTAACCATTTATATCATGTCTTATTTATTACCCATATTTATGATGATGATCTTTGCCCTATTTTTGAAGGTAGCCAATTAGTCACCTTAGTTAATAAGTAAGTGACTAGCTTTGCATTTGAGTGTTTAAATCTGATCCCTCTCAGTCATCATGTATTATCAGCTGAGAATTTCCAAGTACAGAAAACACTGAAGTTTTTGGTGTGTATTTGACTGATCATTAGAAGTGGCCTACCTTTGCTTACATTAAGTAAGAATCCTTATTATTTACTGAAACCAACATTTAGAATTGTAGTTAACTCTTTAAATGCATAGTTGGTGCCTTCTCATTTAATAGAGGGGAAAATTGGGGCCTCGAAACAGTCAGTGATTGGCTGGCCCGGGGACTTCAAAAGTAGGTAATGCCAGTGCCTGAACTAGAGAGATCCAAAGTGTTCTTTCTTCTTCCCAAGTTGTCCTCAGGCATTCTGGTGAGCTTTGTTAATAGCCTGGTTTGCATCACACTGTTTTCTTATGTGTGGAAGAGGGACTTGTGTTGTATGTCTGTGATACCCTCCCTGCTTTTGCTTCCTTAATCTTGCAAATTGTAGGGAAACAAACTGATCTGTGAGTTTCAGGGAAAGCCTGGGAAGGGACCCCTTGACCACAATGCTTGGGATACTGAGGTGGAAGGGTACTGAGTTCAAAGCCAGTCTGGGATGGACTATATAGTAAGATTCTGTCACAAATGAAATTCTTAAAAATTGTTCAGTAGGATGTATTAAGGAAAGAAAATTACCTATATTTTCTAGAATATTCTCAGTTCACAATCAGTTGTATCAGGTTTTGTGAAATGTCATCATTTAAGTCGAAATGACAGGATCCCTGTAACATGACTCTTACTGATGTTGCCAATGCATAGGGGAAAGCTGTTTCTTTTCTTTCCTCCTAATATAAAGAACTTTCTGAGCTGCCATAATACTGATACTCTGTTTTCTTAATTCTGATCTACAAGGTCATTTCTCTAACTGTCCTTCGAGGTAAACAGCCATTGTAGAAGAATAAATGCTTTGTTTGAACCTTTGCTTCCACGACTCCAGAGGCGCATTTAGTTTCTCCTGCTGGGGAAGGCAGCCCTGGTAGTGCAGCTTCATGAATCTCCTTTGCATTTGGAAACGAACTCGAGATTAGCAAACCTGGGGAACCAGATGCACTAAGACAATCATAACTGTGATTCTGATTGTTGATAATCTGCTTTCACAAAGATGTGCAAGTATTTGTTCAGAGGAAACTTCGTGGGGGTGGGGAGGTGGGGTGCTAGGATTGAGCCCAGAGCCTTCTGCCTACCAGCATGGGCTCAGCTGCTGGCTAAACCCCAACAACTAGAGTACATTTTTTGTGTGAAGGTTTTTTTGGTTGTTTGTTTTTGTTGTTGTTTTATAGACAGCTCTCTCCTAGCTGGCCTGGAACTCATTATATAGACCAGTCTGGCCTGAAACGTACAGAGATCTGCCTGCTCCTGGAGTGCTGAGGTGAAAGGTGTGCATTACCACTCCCTGCTAGGATAAATTTTTAAAGAGTGTGTTGTAGCTAGAGTTTTCCTGCCTTGCCCACAGTCAGGACAAATCTTTGTCACCCGCCAGTCCCACAGCCGCTCAGACCCAACCAAGTAAA